TACCTTTGCGAAGGATCAACTTTTAACAATATAAATTGTTGATAAATATCCGACCATAGAAGAGTTTCATTAGACAGTAACATTTCTACCGTAAACCAAAAATCTCAATCAATTCATAAGAAATTTAGAATGTGAGAAAGAAAAGATATTGATAGACATAGATATCTTACTAATGCAGAGAAAACAATTTTTTACTTGTTTCAACTGAACGAAATCTATTTCAATAACTCGATTTGATGGCATAGTTTACTATGTATTTATATAAAGTGATCTTGATGAACCACAATATTAATTGTATCTAACATCGAAAATCAATGTTGTCTAAATACTAATAGAAATAATATAGAGAAAACAATAACTGTTCAGATTCAATCATCTTTATCATATCACAACATATTCATAGGTATGTAGAAGTTCGTTCGCATTCCGAGATCCTTTATGATGCTCTGTGGGACTACTAATAGTTTTTTCTACTAAATAATGATTCGAATTCTTAAAATCTTCCATGTTTGAAGTTAACTTACCACAAGTTGACGTGTCCACATGCATGATACTGAGAAATACATCTTTAGTTTTGATATTTTCAACCACTTGAATGAATGTGATTATTTGATCCGAGTCAAGATTATTCAGATCAAAAACTGTTGCCAAACTGTAGACATATAGATTTGAATTTAGATAAACAATGTCACATAATACATCATCCGTGTGAAATGCAGAAACGATCGCATACATCTTGTGATGATTAATTGCAAAAATAGAAAATTGATCATTGATCGAGATTCGAATGCCACGAGCACCATCATCATCCGTTTCGTACAAATACTGACAACTGATGAATTTTACTGCAATAAACAATATGAATATTACTTGCATCTAAATAATCAATTCAAATATTCATAAACATGATCTATAAATCAGAATTAGTCAGTTGATGCTCCTGATCTAACATTAAATCACTGTGTGAGAGCTTATAAAAATTTTCTATTACATCACGTTCAGTTATTCGAATAATGTTCTATGTCAATGCACAGTATAAAGCAATACGAGAGACTGTAAAGAAGAAATGAAAAAGTTACTCTTTAATTTTAAGCAATTCTCACAGTTTTCCTATTGCGTTAACTAATTTCTTGACGTTTTTTGATCTGAAATTATTTCATTAATTGTTCTCTGAAGATTTTTTTAACATTAATTCTGAATCTAGTTATGAAAAATATACAATGAAGTTACTAAATATATTTACTTATAAATTTAAGATTTGATCTATTTATGTACTATTCGCTATTATTTTCATGAATCATATGAAGAGAAGTTTTGAGAAAGAATAATAAACGCTAGTCAAGATCTATAAAATAGTAATAAAATATCTGGCTAAATATGCAAAATGTATGCAAAAGTCGTTCATAATTACAAATAAATGTTGTTGTCACCTAAAATATATCTCTACAAGTGTAATTTGATATACATACAAGTATATATTAATATGATTATTTTTTCATAACATATTTCATTACAAAACAAATTTATCGTTTTAGTATTGATTTAACGCATACATGATAAAACATTGCAGATTTCTGTCGAATGCTTGCATCTTATTTGATCGTAAATTTGCATCGTAAGCATTAAACAACAAGAATTGAAAATAGATGTTTCTGTTGATATTTTTCAATTCTTAAACGTCATACAAATCCATAGAATAAATTCACACATTTTTGTCCCTACGTTCGCATAGACATGTAAAAAGCTAACAGAACATTAATTTACTTTTTCTGTCATTTGAAAATCCTGGTTTCATGACAATTCCTCAGTCGAAGCAATAAAACAAGAGAAATAACATTTACAATAGCTGCATTCCTAAATTTTGTTGTTATCTCTATTAAAAATTACATGATGATGTTTTCTTCATTATCAGTGCTGTCATCCATGCTGATTTTGAAGATGTTTGCATATAACATAAATCTCTATGCCAACACACATGAGTGAAGTGAAGAGAGGTAATGATAATCGGTCACAGCCGAAGACCGAAGCGACCTAAAGTGCTGATTGAGTGTTGCGAAACGATTGTTTCTTAAAATCATTTCGCAGTGTTTCTGAATATGTGGTATCACATACTTTGAAGACTAGAAAAAAACCAAAGCCACCAAGTACTTCGTAGAACTCAACTTGTAGATGCGATCCATATACTCGTGTACATTAATTCATGAAATTGTAGGGCTAATTTACATTAGTTTTGATAAATTTAAAAGGTGAATTTGAACAGGAGAACAGGGTGTGGATGTGGATGTGGGTGTAGTTCTTGTTTTAACCCACACCCACACTCATACACACCCACACCCACACCCGAGCTACAAAGTGGTATATAAAACATAAAGAAACAAGAAGACTAACTCACCTATTGCAAAGATAATTAAACGGGAAATGGTTCTGTTCTTGTCCACACTCTAATTGATCCACAATTAGAGCTCTGTCTTTCGATCACAGAAATGATAGTTCGAGGTTTTCTGGGTCGGAGAACTCTAATCCAAGCTCCGTTTGCCTTGAAATTCTATTGGTTGAGCAGTAACCAATAGAAATCAAGCTATAGGAAAAAACGACTTTCTTAGGGTAAATCAAGGCGAAGAGTTCAAATCTGAGCTGTATTCATCTCTAAATCCTATTGATTGCGCAGTAGCCAATAGAATTCAAGTGTTTTATAGAAAAGGTTTGCCAGGATAATTTTTACGTCCACACATTCTAGGATGACTCATCTGTCTCATTCACTTTTTGAAGTACACATAACTCTCGGGTTTAAATCCGAGGTTTCCACATTTATTCTGGTTAAGATCGACATGTAAAATTATAATCTCGAGCTCACTTTTCTTGACCACTTTTTTCGGCCCCAGAGAAGCTTGTGATATGAATCTAACAATAGATAGGTAACTCGTAGCGTAGCGCATGCTTCAAAGCAAAGAGTTCCTAGGATGTCTAGACTCAGTCTAGAATTCTGTCAGATTCAATGGGATTTGTTCGCCAATATAGCTTCCGATAGTATGATAACATAAGTTGAAGATTTCTGCTTATCAGAAAATGAAGTAACGCCTCTTCCTCTTCTTCCGAGATTCTTCGTATTCAATCACATTTTGGAGGTTGGTATATCTCCAAACCGTACACGGAGAAATATAATCGTATACGAAGAAATACAAAGTAAAACGAAAAGTGTAGACCAGCTTTGTTTGTCTATAAACGATCATATTTTTGCGCATACGATCACGGATTTATACGATCACATTACTGGGCGATATGAAACGCCGTATTTCTCCAATTACGAGCGTGTTTGCTTGACATGGGTTAATATTGACAACGGTTTGATAATACTTGGAAGAAATCGGATATGATGGAATGCAACAGCAACAAACAGGGGTATCCGATAACCAAAAAGTAAGAGATTATCCAATCTACTCAATACAAGTAAGTCGTTTTATACAGAATCCAAGAAGATGATCATATGTCACTGCGAAAAATTAAGCGTTTTCGATAGCACGCGGTCAAATGGTTCCCACAAACCTGCTGTCTGGACACAGTTGCAACCAATGTATTAATTTATGTTGAGAAACGGAAAAATGAAACTGACTTGCGAAAAATGGTCAAAACCACGGAAGAATTGCCGAAAATTGAAAAAGCGCAAGAAAAACTTTCTCACATGCGCAGCCATCCGAAAAAAAGGAACAAAACGCAAAAAGGACATTTAATGAATTTTGATTGTTTCTACTTCTATATACCTACTTAGTTAGACAGTAATACTATACTCAGATACTATGCAGATAGAATATTTAGAATATTTTTCTAGTGTTTTCTGGTTTTCTGATGGATAAATAAGCAGCTGCACATAAATCTCTGAACAATTTGGAAGTTTCGTTTTTGTTTTTCTCTTTCAAGTCATATTCAATCTATACTGATAACGTACGAGTTTTGTCGGATCTATAGTACTATAGTGTCGGTCAGTTTTAGTTTTCTTCGAAAGGAAACTGTACGCTTCTTTTTCTCCTCCTTTTTTTCAAGAATGCTGGGCATCTTTTTTTCTCTTTTTTTTTTACAAAGTGTTGGTGCGATGCCAGATCTATTTCCAAATATTTTTTCACATGATAACTCTTATCTTTCTCTAAAAGATGACGTAATTTGATCAATAACTTCATATTAGTTTGTTGTAGATACTATCGATTTATAGAGAGTGGTCGAAACTATTGAACCACCCTTTAGAGAATTTTAACATTGAACAGATCCTATCTGAGCCCCTTTGATCTCCTCAATCTAAGACGATTCGAGCCTACTCAAGCTTTTTTATACGTTTAATTGAGGATAATTCGAACCTACCCAAGCCTTTATATGTCCCAGTTTGAGCCTACCCAAGCCTACCCGACTCCAATCTAGGGTAGGCTCGAGCCTACCCAGGCCTCGTGGCTCCGCCGCCTATGATGTGGATAGGTGTGGGTGTGGGAGTGTGGATGAGTATGGGTGTGTGAGTGTGGATGAGTGGGTGGTTGTGAGTGTGAGTGGGTGTGAATGGGTGTGGGTGTGAGGATGTGGGGTGTGTGAGTGTGGGTGTGGGTGTGAGGATGTGGGGTGTGTGAGTGTGGTTGTGGATGTGGATGTGGGTGTTGTTTCAGTCTTCTTTCACACCCACACTCTTGTGTGATTGCTAAGCATTGTTGCTGGCATGAGAAGCAAATCAGAAAGAAAAACATACTTTAATAGATCGATAAATACATTTCTTAAGTCGTATAAAAAGCAATCCACATCTGAAATTAAAGAGATATCTAATTTACTGAAAAAAAGTGATTAGAAACAGACTATTGCAAATGCATGAAAGACACCACTTCTAGAAGATCATTGCAATTAGGATATGAATTGGTGTGGCTATATTGATGAAGAGTAGGCCAACATCTACATCGTACACCAACACCCGACGTGCTGTGCACCAGTACCTGCTGATGAATCTAATAAAATTCCTAGTCTGCTTCCCATGGCGTAAATTTCTGCGAAAAAAACGAGTTCTGAAAACGAGTTTTTCCATAGCTGCGAAACGCGTTAATGCTGACCAGTTTGACGCGTTTCGCATCTGCTGAAACAAACGCTGTGTAACGATTGTTTTTGTGAAAAATTTCGCAGCGTTTCTCAAACTGTGGTGTTGTATATTCTAAGTGGAAGGGTGTGGGTGTGGATAGGTGTGGGTGTGAGGATGTGGGGTGTGGGTGTGTGGGTGTGGGAGGGTGTGAGTGTGGGAGGGTGTGGGTGTGAGTGTGGGTGTTTTCCACCTCATATCCATACATCCACACCCACATCCGCACTCACACCCACCCACATCCACACCCACACCCTGCAGACTTCTTATTTACTTACATTTGAGTGTAAGTGAGATAGATTGCACGATGCTTTAGGTACTTAATGATTATGTCTACCCTTGAAAGATGAAAAGAGCGCTTCTCATTGTCTAAGTTCGATTCAGTCCTCAATTGACGTAATGGACGAATAAGAGTTCTGCAATCTTCCTTCTGTTCTACACAAAAAAGAAACTTCCATAATAAACTTGATCATTTTTTTTGGGATTGTCACAAAACTCTTAGATCTTATTTCACTTTGTAGAAGATAGTCTCATGAGGAAATGCAATAAAACAAAAGGATTGTCTAAAAATAAACATGAAATCGATTTTAGAAAGAGATCCTGTCGTAAAATCACATGAATTCATCAATGCAATTCCCTTTCTCCAAACATCATTTTCACATCTTTCAAAAATATGCTGATAGCTCGTAGTTAACTTAAGATAAACGAATTTTGATTGTTCAAGATCGAAATCGAATCATGCATATACACTGACAATATATCGAGAAAGCATACTTATACATATTAAGAGAAAGAAAGAAATGAAGAACAAGTGAAGAAAGAAAGAGTAAGCGAAAGCCGATAGAGATTTGATGATAAAGTTGCTCTATATCGCACAATTATTTGAGATACTGCCGTTATATCGCAATGGTTAGAATGAACGCAACAAATCTCTAGTAGAAAATTTGACTATTCCGAATACTTTTCATCTATAGATTAACTATTTTGTCAGAATAAAATATCTTGTATTTAATTTATCATTTATTTAGGTGAACGACATACATTCTTAAATATCGGAAAATATTATCATTTGTTTTTGAATGTGACATGATCACAGGATACGTATATGTGTTTCCTCCATAGTATGACGATGGCATGGAACTTAAAATATTAATTGTTTTCCAATGTAAGACATATTTTTCTTGAATTGATTCAAGTAATAATTGTCTGTAGACAAATGTTGTTTTCCATTTCCGTTCAGGAAGAGCTTTGACACAATAAAGCATAAAACATTGTAGTACGTCATCATTGTACGAACCTGTTTTTATTAAGTACTCTAATGGAAAATATAAATCAAATTATAATGGTAATGAATTGCGAGAAGAATGGCTACTCTCGGGGATTGATTCTGCTTTTATTGTAAGCAACGAACTAAATTTTCACATAACTGATGGACCAAATTGTACACGGAATTGTAAATACTTGTCTTTATCGAGTGACTTTTGACATTGACGAAGAACAATGAAACCGAAGTTTTCCATTAACATCTTCATTCAGGCAACATTCAATTGAAATACGTCAACTTACTTACTTAAATCCATCGATAAACCGAAGTAAGGTGAACCGTGAGATAATTGAACAAAAGTTCATATTTGATTTTTGAACATTATTGGAACATGTTCACATTCTAAATTTAATTTTCGATATGGCATTAAATTTAGATTTATCCCAACGTTGATAACTAAAACATTGTGCCATCGTGTGCGAAGAACGCAATGATTATCAGGGTGTTGGTGTTCGTTTTGAGTTTCGACTTAGACCCTTACCCACACTTACACCCCACGATTACACCCACGGGCATCTGTAAAAGACGCGAACACACCTAAATCAGGAATTGATACCATCAGTAGATTGAGTTTGTTGTGCTGATTTTATGAACACTCATATCTTTTACCGGTGACTAGATCAACTCGCCTTAGATACATACTCAAAATATTAGGCTTTTATATTCGAGTCTTATAAAATAAAAAAGAAGGGATGTGTTTCCTCCATTGGGTATGAGTGTGAGTTTGGTTCAAGCGTGAGAAGACAACGACGTTTTCGTTATGCACCTTACTCTTTAAATGACGATAATAAACAGAAAAAAGCAAAGTTTCAAATGTATTTCTGGTTTATCTTCGTTTTGTAAAAAAAATACTTTAATTAAAATCCATAGTTTTTGTTCGAATTATAATAGTAAATATCAATCCATAGATGTAATTATCATCATTCGTTTGGTACTATTGAACGTTTTTTTCCTTCTTTTTAAATCAGAAAAATTTCCTAAATTATTGAATCACTTGTAATGAAATTTTAATTGATATCAACTCTCTATGCTTGTGTGAGTGTAGATGTGGGCGGGCTGGGCCTATTCGTCATTCACAACCACACATCCACACTCTTCTTGCCAGTGACGTAACCCAGCCGTTGCCGTAGAAGAATCAACGGCGTCGAATCAGCCGCTGTTGAACGTTTATAATAATTGAAAATTTTCAGCCATCGCCGCCGCCGATTAACTCGTCGAGTTACATCTCTATATTTTGCGTCATCTCACATATCTTTCAGAAAAAGGTCAACGAACGAATATATAAACTAATAGAATTTAATTGTGTTCTTCAGTATTTTCCTCACTTCGTTCATTTTCAACTATTTCTTTCATTTATTCTCACACAAAATTAGGCAGCTATCATGTCGAAACAAGCCTTTGAAGAAGCATATGAAGTTCGTTATGAAGAACCTTTCTCTTTTCTCTTATAATAAAATACTTATCTTGTAGTTTTATACAAAAGCTCTTGTGAATGATGATAAAATTGATCATCGAAATACTTCCAAAATCTTAGTATCACGTGCTCAATGTTCATTAAAATTGAAAAACTATGCAATTAAATGCGAATTTGTTTTTCAAGTTATTATTATGACTCTATTGTTATGTTACTTTTTCTTCTAGATGCATTAAAAGACAGTAATGATGCAATTAAATTGGATGAAACAAATATCAAAGCATATATTCGTAAAGGTGTTTCATTATATAATCAAGATTTAAAAGAAGAAGCTCTACAAGTTTTTCTTCGTGGACTTGAATTTGATTGTAAATTGATTGTATTCATTTTGTTTTATAAAAATATATTTTTTATTCTTCTTTTTTTCTTTTATTAAGTTGCTAATGAAGAATTAAAAATATGGCAAAATAAATGTGAAAAAGAATTAGCAGGTACAATTTTCTTTTCTGATTAATTAAATTGTAGTTTTATTTTAATTTAGAGCAAAATCCTGTTACTATGATTGCTTCGATTGAAAAAGAAAAATTAACTACAAATGTTACACTTGTTCCTCCATTGCCACCAGCAAAAATCAAGTCTATTTAATATTTCTTTTTTCTATAAATATTTATGAATTGTTGTTGTTGTTGTTGTTGTTTTTAGACATTCCTTCTATCAAACCGACAGTATTGTTACTATTCAAATTCCTATTAAAGGCCTGAAAAAAGATCAAGTTCACGTCTATTCAACAGATACAACTGTTTGTATATTTTTTATTCAGTGTCAATTTGATAATATTAAGTATCAATAATGATTTTTTTTAGATCAATATCCATACGAAAATACCTTCTTCTGGTCAAGATTATTCACTTGAAGTTGATCTTGCTTATCCAGTTGACTCATCACGTACAAATTTCAATGTTACTGGTTCAAATGTAAGGAAAATGGAATTATGCTAGGTTTTTGTTTAATGTAATATTCTTTGCTTTCAACAATAGATCGAAATAAAATTATATAAAAGACAAGCTATACAATGGACATCATTAGATGCTCAATCAACAGCAGCTAAAGCTCAATCACCAGGTACAATATCATTAAACTGTTTTATTTTTGTATTTAAATTATATTTCCCGTTCCAATGAGTCGACCTTTAATTGAAAAAGCACCAAGTTATCCATCATCTAGTCTACATGCTAAAAATTGGGATAAATTAGAAGCTGAAATAAAAAGAGATGAAAAAGAAAACAAGGATGATATGGGTGTGGGTATTCTATTTACATTCCCATCCACACCCTGATGCGGCTGTTGGATCTATCATCGGTAGCATTATCGGTAGTTTTAGTGGAGGTGTAGTTGGCTCATACGGTGTTGAAGCATTGGCCGAGTGGACATTATCCAGTGATGAGCAAGAAGAAAAAAAATGAAGATTGAGGACTTTAAAAAAAAAGTGTTATTATCCTTCTTTTTGTTTTTTTTTAAATCCATGTGTTCTAAGAACTATTCATGAGAGGATTGAAAGTTTCGATAGAAATATATACTATAAGTATAGCATATCTTCGATTTTTTTTCTCAAATTTTCTGATTCCTCTCATTTTAATTCATAAAAAACCTTTTTATATTTTTGTTTCAGAATATTTTACACTCAACATGGAATTGGAAGTTGTCATTTCTTCGAAATACTGGATTATCAAACCTTGTTTTTCTAAAACCGTTTACGAACCTGCTTTGGTGAACACGTGGGAAAATACAATGAAAGATATTTTAATATTACACCTAGTCCGCCATCCTATGCTTCTTATAGCACCTCATCCATTGACTTCTCTTGAAGATGTTCTGTCGAATGCCGAAACAATTAAATTTCATAACAATATCAAATATTCGATCATTGTTTTGCATCCTGGAAATGTACATGACAAAGAACTGCTTATAACTGCAATGGATAGTATTGAATTCGAATGTGCAGGTTTATGGTTTGTTGTATACGATCAACCTTTGCCTATTTCCACAGATTTCATATTAAAAACACTCAAACTTATTCGTGAAAGTAATCATTTCATTTCATTATCTGATATTGATGTGGAATTATTAGCATGTGTTGCAGATGGCCAAGAATTATTGTGGTTGAATCCTGGATCAGAAATTTCAATAAATGAAATTTTACATTTATTGAAATTACATGAATGGACAGTATCAATGGAAGGAACTATTGAACAATAAAAAAAATAATGTTCATCATATGTAAATTCAATTAACTGCAAACTTATAGCGTGCAAAATATTATCAATAAAAATTTCGAAACGATTGATTGTATCAATCAATTATTTACATTTTTTTCTATTAAGATTACATATATGTTTCGTCTTTATTTACAAATAGGTTTCGAACAGTTTATAAGCGATGATAACCTGACGTGTCTAATAGAATTATAGACGTTCTATATGTATGCGTTGTCTTCAAAAGCCTCTGACAATTTCGGTCCTAAAAATACCAGAGAGATGCAGCATCTCAAAGCAAAGTAAGAAACAAAAGAGGAAGAAAGAGAATAGGAGGAAGGGAGAGAAATGAAAATGACGACAAGACAAGGGAAAGAAAAATGGAGAAGAAAAAGAAACAGACGAAATGGTTGCATGAACACCATACGACTAGGTCTTCGGGAAGAATATGAAACTTCAGAGTCGTTCTTCTGCAGTTTCGACAAAGAGAGTATGAGTGTGGGGCTTGGTCTTCTTTTCACAAACATGCACACTCATACCCCAATGAAGAATTCTTGTACTGACAAAATTTATTTATTTTTCTAGAACAGAAATAATCAATTATTACATTTCATTCAAGCATTATTATATGTCGGTGATTTAGAATATATATTAATTTTATTTAATAATTTATCTCGATGGCCATGTGCATCCTATCGAGAAATAAATACACTTTTAACAAAAATTATTGCTTATACGATTGATGCATTTTATTAAAGGTAAAGAAAAACACAAAAAAGTGAATTTATTCTTTATTATAAAATTTTTTTTTTACTTATTTAAGTAATTCGGATCTTCATGTTTGTTTTCTTCAATATGACTTAAATAATCCATTAAATTTAAACATTTGTCCACGTAATTTAACTTTAATTAAAACATGGAATGAATTTCGAGAAAATATATATCCATTATGATTACATCTTGGTACCTATTGTCTAGATCGTCTTTTATATACACAATTAACACGTTTATGTACAAATATAATTAAAAAACCAATTATTACTGATGAACAACAAGAAGATATACTTTTATTAATTGATGAAGCTCTTTTACCAAGTCTTTCATTACTTGATGTTAATAGTTGTTTAGGTATTGAATTATGATCATTAATAAAATTATTTCCATATGATATACGTTATGGACTTTATGGATAATGGCATGAAGAAACATATCGTAAAACATCACAACTTATTTTTATTAAACAAGATGTTACAGGTAAAAGTCGAGCTATACTCAGGTAAGATTATAGAGAATGTTTGTTTTTATCCCTATTGGCTCTGAGATTATTTAATAAGTTTACATTAAAATATGCTTAATTTTTGGTTTTTGATTTAGACGTATTACTAAAGATAATGTTAAAACTTACAGTCGTCAAATAGCCAAAATGACACAATAATCCAATTGTAATAGTGTCAGTTGTAAGTAAAATTTATTCTTTTCGTATTATAAATTCTAAAATTTTTTTGTAAATTAAGATTATCGATCACATACAACGATTTGATAATTTTATATCTGTTATAAATGATGCATTAAAATATCTTTCATCACTCACATACGATATTGTTTGTTATACAATATTACATGCATTAATATCATCAATATCAATACCATCATATATTGATGGAAAAATGAGTCGTGAAAATGCAACACCAACACAATAGTTTCAAAATTTATGTGTTTTATCAGCTAATGTATTTAAAAAAAATATCCTGTTGATTTTACATCAGTTCTTTACTATATATATGATCAATTATGTGTTGAAAAAAACATGTGATTTATATTTATTATGTGAAGTAATAATAAAAATGAGTAGTGGTGAATTATTACGTAGTGAAGCTGGACAATTTACAACAGCAAGAAATGTTAAAAGACCTTCAATACGTTTAAAAGAAGCATTATTAGATAATGATTTATATTTACCATTATCAATTATTATAGCACAACAACGTCGTTGTATTGTTTTTAAATTTGGTGCACAAAGAATTGAGCGTTTAAAATTAATTGGTAGTCTTTATGATCAAGTAAATTATGTTTTTTTTTTTCGTTTAATGAAAAAAATAAAAAATTGTTTTAGTGTCAAGATACAATGGTACAATTTTTTACATTTTTATCAAATGTATTAACAACAGAAAATTTTTATCATAAATTTCCTTCAATTGATAATCTTGTACTTGATATTCATTTACAAGTTGATGCTGCTTTTCAAATATCAAGATCATTATTTAATCTTAATATTCAAGTAAATGATTATATATATATAAATATACGTATATTGAAAATATGATAAAATTTAATTTTATTAGGCGAAATTTGATTAACTTTGATCAACAACTCCAAAATCATCGAATAAGAGTGCATTGGTAAATATGAGGTTCTTTCTTTCGTATGATGAAGAAGAGTATCAATCTTGAGATGATAAAACAAGACTTTAATATAATTAAAAATTAAATCAAACAAATTTTAAAACTACAGAATCCTTCGTTAAAATAAATCTTGTCCGGCACTAGAGCCCATCGAATTAGTCTTCAGTCCAAATCCGATGGACTTTACGTAGTACTTGTTTATTTCATAAACGATTCATTCCAACTCAACTAAGATATAGAATTAGAACATTAGACAAAAGATTTAACACTTCGGCATCTGCCCAATAAAGAAAAAAAAACTATTTGATTTGAGTTTCATTAAGCATCATATTCTTATCCATAGCGAATTGTTTAGTGTCCCAATGATGTTTTTTACCCGTTTTTAATAAACGATTTATCTACACTTATTGTATTTATCTAGATACAAAATTATATTGATGCAGTTACAGTTGTTATGTCGCCTGTACTTGATTTTGTTAAAACTCTTCATCCACAACGAACATGGGAAGAAATGATGTATGTGAATGTTTTGTTTTTTTTCTCCTATCATTATCTATGAATTCCTTTAGACCACAATTTTATTTAACATTTTGCTCATTATCAATGTCGAATTTACAAGTACCAGAAATAGCATATAAACGATCTATTGAAGAACTTGAACTTGAAATGACACAAATTGATGAACGAAAAGAATTGGTTTGTTTAAATGAACAAAATAACATATAAACATTTATCCTCTTTTTTTCCTATAGACAGCAGCAAAAAAACGTAAAGAAAAAGAAAAAATTCATATTATTATAGATAAACTTAAAGAAGAATTATTTAAGCAAAAAGAACATGTTGAACGAGTACGTCCACGACTTGATATAGAGTAAACATTGGTTTAAAAATCGTATGTTAAATTTAAATCTTTTTTTCTTTATAAACATCGGTTAGAAGAAAAAAAATGTTTGTTTTTTGTTTGCAGGAAATAAAACCAAAGCTGAAACTATAACTGAATTTCTTCGATTATGTATTTTTCCACGATGTTTATTAAGTGAAATCGATGCACTTTATTGTGCACATTTTATACGTGTTATATATGATTTAGTAACACCAAATTTTAGTACAATTATTTGTTATGATCGACTAATTTATGATATATCATATTCACTTGCTTCATGTTCAGAAAATGAAGCTATACGTTATGGAAGATTTCTTGAATCATTATTAGAATCTGTTATGAGTTGGCATGGAGATAAGAACAAATTTGATAAGGTAATTTAATATTATTCAAAACTCAAGAATAAGAAAAACAAAAACTATTAGGAAATATTTTAAATTATATGAAATTTTCAGAATATGTTAGGACACACACCCTTTTGAATAAAAAAAATGTAACAATTGGCTACAAAGAAGCTCCTTAGAGAATCCTTAGTTTTTTTTTGGGAGGGGACGAACCTTAATCAAAATCGATAATATTTTCATTGTCTAAGTCTATTTAACAAAGATGATGATGATGATTGATTTTGATGAATAATTATTATTAATCGAGTTACTAAAATTTGAATTTTGTCAAAAAGAAAATATAAGTGTCACAGTTATCGTTTTCTCTACTAAACTATATATGTTTCGTTTGTGGGTCGAATTTTTTTTTCAAACTAAGATTAAACATATCAAAAGGCTTTTTTTAATTATTATAATATTATTTAACAAAAAGGGTGGGTGGGTGTGATGTGGGTGTGGGTGCTATTCAGTAAAATACACACCCACACACCCACATCCATACACCCACATCCACACACCCCACACCCACACTCTCACACCCACATCCACACACACCCGCACCCAACACCCACACCCTTTCTGCTTATCAACACAAACATCTCCATTGTGAGATACAAAAAAAAAGATGTATTTGATATTTATTATTTGTTTTGAATTACTAGTATTATTGATCTATTATCATTATCGTCTAGGCATTAGCATTAGTGTCTTTCAAAGCATAGATGATGTTAATCGTGACATGTATATGTGGTGGTAGATATCTAATTGTTTAGGATATGCTTTATTCTTCTATAGAATTAATAATTATTTTTCAATAAACAAGAGAATTAAAGTTGTTGATTATATTTTACTCTTCTATTTAACTTAGGAAATAAATGTAACAAGTCTAGAGTAATATACTGCTACTAACAGATACAATTCTATTTGATATTTCTCGTATGGTCTCAAGTAAGATCTTAATTTTACTGGATTTCACAAGTTTAAATCAGTATATCTTCATTTAAAAAACGTTTGTTTCTTTCGATATTGGGAACTACGATATTTTATTCTATTTAATTATTTCAGTAATTAATTAATAGAATAAAAATGAAACAATGAAATCTAGTTTACAATCCATGAATATGTTGTTTCATACATATGATATTGACAGATGTGCTTAATTCTTAAGCGAAAGACAGTAGTGTCAATGTAAGCGTGCACTAAACTCGAATGTTCGGGTTCGGATTCGATCTGAAGTGCAATTATTTTCACTTAGTTGATAAAAAGAAGTAGAAGACGAAACAAAGGATTTTACAGATGACTATCATTATTCTATATACAATGAAATATCGAACTCGAACCAGAACGTGACTAACCCTTAGAGTATCGTCATGATCGTCTGTATGCTTCATGAAACGCTCTAACAACCAGCCAAATACTCGGAACCATCTCAGTTCGTTGGATATTGTCCGAACTTGAGTTCGGGTTCGGTGCATAGTGATGTTGATGTAATATTTATATTGAGTCTCATCCTGTCCACGCTAGAATGCATTTATTGTGCTGGATTTGTTTTTCAGTAAATAGTCGCAGATTAAGCCATAAATATACAGGTTCATAGAATACTTTAAGAACTTTCAGAGTGTATAATTATGTTTTAGCAAGAAATATGTTTTTATAATGATGATATATTTCAACTATAGACTTTAACTATTTTCTAGTAGTATATGCACTGGTCAATCAGCATAAAATTCAAGAAAATCAAGTAATTGAAGAAGATGGTCATCTATATAGTTGGATGGTTATTCTTCAAATCCGCATGCCTTGAGATATTATGAAATACTTTTCGTCTTTACCTTCATCGCCTTGCTTTCTTCTTGAATTTTCTTTATTTACATTGAATTCAATACTATAGAACAAGGAAAAATAGTAGAGACTTTAGTCTTGAAGTCTGTTGAGATCCGATAAATCTTCTAAAATCTCTTGAAGTTTGGTGAAGTCTACTGTTTTCTCCTTGCTGAATAGTCTGCTACTTGAATTTCTTTGAATTGCCAGTTTCTGGAACGTGGATATTTTTATAATGACTTAATTTAAAGAAATTATTCATCTATTAACTTTGCTGGATGATGAATTATGAGTCATACTCATCTTGTCTTTTTTCTTTTCGTTCAAAACTTTGATGCAATTACATTTTGGATTTTTATTCTCTTTATTTTTCTGCTTTTGTCGATATATGACACACAAAATGGAATGTGTTTTCAATGCTCAAACTAATATTTATCTATCAAGAGATCTTGCTTCCTTAACAATAGATCTTCAAACACATTATTTTTATTATAATTACACGAACAATATACTGAATTGTAAATTATTTTTAAAACATCCGTATAGTTCATATTTTAAACAACTTTATTCATCTACCATCAATGAATATCAACTAACAGATGATATATTAAATGTTCTAAAATTGTATGCTGATAGTCAATCAAATGAATGTTATATGAAAACGAATCTCAATTTATTAAGTGCTAATTTAGAACATATTGATTGGATTTGTGTTAATACATTACGTTCATTAATACGTGGATTAGCTCAATCAAATATCAAACATATTAATGCCGTAAAACCAGATGGGCTCTGGTGGGCTCAATCCATCCTAGAATTATTTTGGCTCTTCCGAAAAATTCATTTATTCTTTATGTCTTTTGCACTAAAACCGAAGTGAATTAGAAAAAATATCAACTAGTTTTTCACCGTTTTGTTGAAATCCCAGTGCAAATTAGCGAAAAACACCGAAGTTTATGAAAAAATCACTTTCACACGGATGTGCTCGTTGTAATACATGTTGGGAGAGAAAAACTCGACAAATTTCAATAAATCTTTGGCATCATCCCCACGGAAAAATGCGAGAAATTTTAGTATTTCGGATGAGCCTAATATTCCAATGTGTCACTACAACGAGATCCAGTTTGTCGCAGACCATTGTAGACTAATTTTACGGCCATTAATCTCATTTATTTCATTTTCAATTTTACTTAGGATGAGATCAGATTATCATTTGATGTGAAATAATGATTGTACAGTTGATTTCTACTCATGGTAGTGCAATCCTTAAAATTTTTCGATTTGACATCAGTCAGATAAGTATTTTGCTGTTTTCATGCTGAAAATTGATTGAAATCTACAGTCTATACTTGTGAGCCTGCATGCTTAGCTAAATAACTGCCTGAAGAAAGAAAGAAAGAAAGCTACAGCGTCTACTCAAACGCACGAAAGTTTCTAAAAACAACATACTGGCCAGCTTCTTTTTTTTATTATGCTGGTTTATGTACCACTCGAAAGTGCTTACATGGATACTGGCCAGTTCTCGTCCAAGCGTTAAAGTTATTTCACAAACACGAATATGAAGTCTTATAAATTATGTAAATTCCGCGACCAGCTCAAAATCAATATTGTAAAAAGAAAATTTCCATTAGAACCAACCAAATTTTCTACTATTCTTAGAACTAAGTTCTTCAGTTGAAGGACTTACACCAGAAGTTGTGTAAGAGTCTTTTTATATTGCAGTATAAATGGATCTATCATTTGAAATTCGTCGGAGTCGATGTCTGTCGCAAATACAAAGTCTACACAAAATACGACCGTTGTCTAGGGCGCCCAGCACTTTCCCTAAAGCCAAACATCTGAAAGTTAAAATATCAGTAGATCGATATGTTTTGAGAAGCTGAAGTTGGAATCACTGAATAAATGGTTCATGAGAATCTGAAGTTCTAATTAGTTCAATTTCTTCATTTCAAAAGTGTGCACCGAAATAAGCTCTATCCAAGGGGGAAAAAGCGAGACTTCAATACTTCATTACTTCACGATACTTCACGATACTTCACTGGTACTTCACCGGTACTTCACGATACTTCACTGATACTTCATGCTACTTCAGTTATACTTCACGGTACTTCAAAAAAAATGTGAAGTATTGAAGTCTCGCTTTTTCTCCCTTGGCTCTATCTCACTGAATCTTCTTATAGAGCACATTTGATTTTGATTTGATGTACGCCATCATGCATTCTAAGACGTGATTTTTTAGATTTTCATTCGTGAACATATGTAGTTAAACCGGTACCCTCTGTTCTAATCGAAACACTTCCAGCTTTATTTCATGCCTCTGGGAATAGAAAATATCAGTAGTACCTCTGACTGACTTTTGAAAATGTGCGAGTCTGAGTCCACCAAACCTCGAAATCTCATTGTAAATATTTTTTTCAGAAAAAAAAACTCTCGAGTTAATCAGCTTATGTAATTAATAAATGTCTTTCAATAATATTTTAATGCAAAAATACTATTAATATATTTTCATTATGCACTTTATTAAGTTAATCAAAAAAAAAAAAGTAATATTACAATGAAGGAGAATAAGCATAGAAATCTTCTGAATGTATACTCATTTTTGGACTCATATTTAATTGTTTTACTTTCATACAATTGAGTCGTGTTCTATCGTTTGTAAAATTTCTCGTGACACTTTTTAATTCATAGTAACCAACTGTTAATTTGGTTAGATAAGGTAGATGTGTTTTTTTATCATTAAGAAATTGTTCAATATAATCAGGATAAGCATATTGAAGATTAAGTGTAGTAAGATAAGGAAATTTAATAATTGTTGAATACAATTCATTATCATTAGAGTCTAATTCGTTTGATATTGGTGACTGTGGCATAAGATTAATAACATGTAATATTTTAAGTAAAGGAAAAGACCGCACAATTCGCATGAAAAATTCATGTTCCAATGAAATTTCATCCTCTATCACCAATCTTATAACATGATTGAAAATAATATTTGGAAATGTATTATCAATATAAGGAAGATAATCAAACATGAATGGCAATGTAAATACATGATATTTGACATCAACATCTTGATACTCAATCATACAGTCCACTTGTTGATATATAATGCTAGGAAAAATTTGTAGAATATCATCTTTAAATAAATGATCCAATGGAATGAAAGTACAAAAACAAAAGTTAAATGTATGAAGTCGTGACATATGAACAATAATTTCATTATAAATGTGTTTACCATCAATAAATGTAGTTTGATTATCCATAGTAAGATGTAAATTTAATACTTCTATATTTGACATACGACGTAAAAGAGGTAAAATTTGACTATTATATGTATCAGTTAAACAATCATATTGTAAATAAAAATATTTCAAATCAGATAAATTATTCTAGAAAATATAAATCAATATTCATAAATGTATTATTATTGATTTAAATCAGAAAAAGTTCCCACAAAATAATTGATTGAAAAGTAGCTCTATTAGTATTTTATTCATTTTAAATATTTCTCCAATATATCTTTTACAATGATGACTAAAATAATTATATTGTATTTCGAAATATTCAACAGATGAAAAATAAGAAATACTAAAGTAACTCGAAAATTTTAGGTCAATATTATTTATATAGAAAACAAGTTATATCATCTGATCAACGTGACTATTTCCATTAGATAAATCATCAAAATCTTCATCGAACAACTAATCAAAATTATAACAAATGAAAATTACTTCGATCAAACTTTTCTATATTTAATAATCTTTATCACTTGTCACTTATTACTCACATGCCTTTTAGTTTGTTTATTGTCTGTACTCCTTTTTATCTTTTTAATATTCGTTCTACTTGTGTTTTTCTCTATTATAAATAAAATCTAAACTTACTATATTATAAACATTCGTTGAATTATATTCCTGATTAATAATAACAACACGCAATGTATGTAATTGTTTGAGACGACCATCAAGTAAATCAAGTAAATCATCATAATAAATTACATTAATACATAATTTGGAAAGAGTTGAAGAGTAACAAGTAGTTATAGGTAAATTACGAAGTACTAAAGATGGAAAAGACTTAGAAAATGATCCAATAATAGATAAATGTTTTAGATTTTCGAAGAATTTTAAAATTTATCCATATACATCTGTTGTATAATGTTTACATGATATTTCATTAACATAATTTTCAAATACAAGAATAAGATCTGTAATTTGTCGTTGAAAAAGACGTCGACATGGTGATTGAACTAAATAAAAAATAGATATTATCTAGTCTATCTATACAACAATTTTTTATCGAAATTTTTATTCAGTTCAGTATAGAAGTTATATACCTGTAAAATAACGTTAAGCAATTTTACTATTAAAATTGAAGATTTTTATTTCACATAAATTTGAATAGTCAGCAACAAGAAGAATACGTTCCATAGATAATGAGTTAAGAATAAGAGATTTAACATTATAATGAATTTTTGGTAATATATTCGTGCAAAATCGATCAAGTATTGGATCAGATATCGATAAGAAATCATTAGTTAATGTTGTTAATACAAAATTGAGAGTATTAGTGAAAGTATTTTCTTGTATTATGTTATCAAGTCGTTGATTATTAATATCAAACAATGAATAAAGAACATCCATATTATCAAGTTTTTTAAAAATAGTAAGTAATATTTCAGTAGGTAGATCAAGAAGATTAATGTTACATTGATTCATATTGACTGCGACTAATACTTTTCTTATGATGAATATATATATGTACGTTCATTGTTTATTTATGTCAGTCGGTGTCATATAATAAAATGAATGAACAATCTCGCTGAAAAAAATTTTTGGCCAATGAATAATAGACTAATTTATTTATAAATGAACATTTATTCTTCTTTTTATCTGTAATATTATTTTGATTGCTAGTCACGCCGATTCTTATTTATATTATTTACTGACGAAATCATGTTGAAGAAGAAAACAAAGATGATATGTAATACATACACAGACTGATTGAATTTTGTTCATAAGTATTGAGGATAATAAACAGAAATTACACTTTTATGAATATTATAAAAGATAATATCTACATGAGAAACTAATAATTGATATAATTTTCTAATTATTTATCTTATTTTCGAAATTGTCTTTTTCATAGCAAAACCTATTTGAAATTTAGTGAAGTTTCTCAGGCAAATATTAATTGAGTATTCTCAAGGTTTTATATTTGTTATACTTTTTTATTTTTAGTCTTCATTCTTAATACAGCATAAATATATATAAGCTCTTTGGTTTTTATTTTTGTTAAATCTTGTTGAACGTAAAGATCTAATTAAGAATAATAAATGATGACAACAGGTTAAAGAATAATTTTTGGAATAAAAACTTGATTCAGTTCTTTTAGTGTAGATCTACGTTTTGTAAAATACTCGTAGTAAAATAATGACTGTTTCATGTTTTTAGAGTCAGTGCTTTGAACAGATCGAAATTAAGGCAATTGTTCTGATGAATAAAGGGCTGTAACGCACGACATTTTTGCAACCTACAACTGTCTTCTAGAAATTTTTATAATTTAATCTTATTTTGTAACAACTGTAGAAATTTTCTCCTATATACTAATTGAAAGTTGTTTTTTTTTAACGAAGAAGGAAGTTGGTACGGATATAATCTCCTGTCTCACACACATTCATCCACCTTTTGAAAAGGTTTGCCACTGCAGATGAAACCGGAAAAAAAGTGCTCGCAGTTCAGAATAGAGAGATATCCATATTACAGGGTGAGGATGTGACTTCATCCACATCCTCAAGAACTTCGTCTTTCGAAGTTTTGATAATTTAAAATGGAAAATATTTGTCAAGAAATAAATTTTTAAATCAAGCAGTTCTATTTTATGTAGATGATGATCATCAAAGAATCACATCTTTTTCTAGTCATTAATCATACGAAAGAGTAACATTTCTTATACATTATTATTTATTTTCTAACTCATGTCTATTTATACAACACTTTAAAAAATATTTTCTAAGTACTCTCATAGTCAGAAGAAAGTAATATTGTTCATTAAATGTCTCGTGAAAATTATCAGTTAAGAGTCATGCAAAACTGGAACCGATATTATGTTTGGCTAAAATTTTCTTTGCGAACCTCATCAGATTCACACGTTTGAGACAAATGAAACAAATCAGGTTGACTTTACGCTATTGATTCGTTTAGGAATTTTCTGGAAATAGAAATTCAAACAAGATCTTTGACACCATCGTTTAAGCAATAATTGAAATAGATATGATACAAAACACGTTTAAGCATTATGTGCTAATATTGCTCTTTCAAGAAAAAGAGACAGAAATCCTGCCTATTTTTGTTTGATTTGCATTACAATCTACAGAAACTGAATGCAAAACACATTCATCTTTTTTCTTCGTAATATGAGGCATAAAAAATGGAAAAGGATGCACACATATAAATAAAATATGGCCTTAATGATTTCATTGAACGTGGACATAAATCTCGGCTGTTTCATATACACTTTGTTTACTTTAGACAGACGTGTTTTCCACTCTCATTGGTGATTTAGTTGTTTAGTGTGAATGAGTGTTGATTTAAAACGAAGATAATATTGTTTTCAGGCCCTGCGCGAGGGTGCCAAGATTGGGGGGAGGGAGGGTGGGGTGAGGGGTTCCGAGAAAGTCAAGATTGAGGGACGCAAAATTTTTCTTCGCGTCAGATTTGATGTTAATCTTTCTCTACTGACATAACTTGTAAAAATTTTTCGCGAAGCGACAACTTTTTGCAACCTTTTTAAAAAGTTCCACATTTTCTGGCAAATTCTCAAGCAGAGAACTCGAGTCCTATATAAGAAAGTTTCTCAATACTGTCATCATCGAAGGCGACCACTGGCGAAAATTGTTCTATATCAAGCTGTTTCAAAGGAAAAATTGACTACAGTAAGAAGTTTTCTACGTTCACTACGGTTATACGATGGTTATTTTTCGTGAAGCGAAAACATTTTTCAGACTCACGAAAAACTTTTTTTTCATGTTGTTCGAACGGAAAAAGTGTTGCGATAGCTCTGAGAGATTTCGCCGCCGAAGGCGGCCACGCTAGCAAAGGTGCAGAATCTACTCGCGTGCACAACCAGTCAGTCGGGGAAAATTTAGTAAAGTTATTAGTAGTTAGGGGATTTTTTTTGATTTTTCTCTCATAGAAAATATTTCATAGTTTTCCAAACGAGTCCTGATATATTTATATATGCATCGGTCACATCATGCACTTTTGTTTCTTTTTTTATTAAACTTTTGAAAGAGTTATTCGTGTCTTTCTCGAAGTGCCAGTATTGCCTACTTTTATTTAATCAGGCTTCCTTAAATAATCCAATTTTTCGAAAAAAATGTGAAGTTGAGTTTTTATCATAGGAAGATGTCCCGAAGCCTCTTCTTTCGGAATATATATAGTTTTCTGCAAAACGCCTAGATTTTGACAGACTTATTGGAAAAGTCTTGGTCCCTCTTGTCATGTGTTTTCAGAGAATCCTTTGAGGTTTTATAGAGTTTTCAGTTTTGTAAAAGCCTAACTGTCCATTTGTATAAACATTGATAAAACATTATTACATTAATTATTAAGTGTTCTAACACTCAAGCTAAGGATCATATTTTTATATGGTTTCCGGAATACTGGCTATTTTAAAAACCTTGTTTTAATGTTTTCTGGATATAAATGAAAGAGATTTGAAAAAAATTCATTTCTAAAACTTCTTTAGCGTTTTCCTCAAAACATGGTTTCCATGCAGGAAAACTGAAATAACTCCCACCCGGTTCAAACTATAATCAATATTTTATTTTGTTTTGAAGGTCGGAATGAGAGTAAACTTTTCATCGGTCAGTTTTTTTTTATAGTTGTTTCTGGCTTAAAAAACTAGGATTCAGAGCCTTTGGATCGTCGCTTTTAAAGCTGATTTCAAGACATGTTTCTTAAAATAGTCCTAAAAAAATGAACGATAGAGAGTTTAAAAATTCTGTCGGAGGAAAAATGTACTTTGATATTGACTTTAATTTGAGACCATCCCAGGCTCTATACCTCTTGTTGCGACGAAGTTATAAGGATTCTCCCAATGTTGAACATTAGATATTTTTATGTCTAAATTATATTTCTTTGAAATCACTTTTAACATGTGCCGTAAATGCACTGATAAATTTTTCGATCAAAAACGAGTCGAAATCAGTTGTAGGAAAATTTTTCAATTTCCTGATGATACGAATAATGACAAAATGCAGTATAATCTTTTTGAAACATTTATTTCCTACAAACACAAATATTCCTTTCCCTTAACGTGATTTTCACCCGACTTAGTGTGTTTTTCTTTAACTATACATATTAAAAATGATGGCCTTACAATTCTTCGTTTCACATTTTTCTGATTTAGTATCTGCAAGAATTAGAATCAAGTTGGAAGTATACCAAACGAAAGTTTGTAAAACTGGTAGTCCAGTAGATCGTATCTTAACAAAATATCTCTAATCTAGTAAGAATAATAACACGTTTTTACATTCTAATTTCGTGCAATCATTGAGAGTGTGGATGTGGGTGTGGGCGAGTGTGGGTATGGATCTGCGTTTATAGGTTAACATCCATATCCATCTACACCCGCACCCGCACCCACACCAAGACCCTACACCCACGGTCACCCACATCCACTCCCCTACTCAGACCACCATCCATACTCTTGTGTGCATATTTCATACTATTCGTTACTGTATTTGTGGGTAAACACCCATTACTGTGGTGAGAGAAGGTGTTTTTTTTCTTTTCTATGGACGTCTTTTATTTGATAAGCATTCACAATTGAAACAGAATGGTGCAATGAGATTTTTGCGTTTCGTGCAGTACACCAACGACCTTGAGGGTTTGTTCACATGCACGATTGAAAGTAGTGAATTCCGCACGTCGTTATTCGATGTTTCTCTTTCATGAATGGTGTGGGTATGGGTCTGGATTTGGGTCTGGGTGAGGGTTGCGAATTTGAATAGTATTCACGCTCACCCTCACCCCACCCACATCCACACTGATCGCTACACACAGTCAGACTCAGACACCCGCACTCACACTGAGATCCTACACCTACGGGCACCCACATCCACCCTCACCGTCCATACCCCCACTCAGACCACCACCCATACTCTTGTGTGCATTATTTCATACTATTCGTTACTGTATTTGTGGGTAGAAACCCAATACTGTGATGAGAGAATGTGTTTTTTGTTTTGCAGGGACGTCTTTATTTGATAAACATTCACAATTGAAAACAGAATGATGCAATAATTTTTTTATGTTTGGTGCAGTACACGAACGATCTTGAGAGTTTGTTTACATGCACGATTGAAAGTAGTGAATTGCGCACGTCATTATTCTTTGTTTCTCTTTCATGAGCAAACAAATATTTACCTAGGATGAAAAAATAGTAACCAGAAGAGAGCAACTTTGTATAAAAATGTGTAAAACGCAACATCATATTGTTATATTTCGCCTATTCTATTTTTGTGGCAGCCAACTGAGTTGAGTAAAGTAAGACTTTCGTTGTTTGACTTTGGTGATTTTCCGATCATATTCAGTTTTGGGATAAATCTTGTGTTATTCTGTGTTTCATTTCGATGTCTTTGCAACATATCCCAGGATGGGCTTTCCAACGATCAGATACGGTCGTAAACGGCCTTATAAAAATAATAGTAATAGTG